GCAGGAATGTCTGGACCCCAATCCAAGCTTTCGCACAGACCCCATGTGGGGTTTGTCCCCAACGCCCTCCTCCCTCCTTCCAGATCTCTAATCTGGATATTGTGCAGGCTTTCCCACTCTCCGTGTTAGATAACGTTTGGGCTTTTTAATCCAAATGGAAAAGACAAAAAGTAGGAAGAGAAGCAGAGGTGCAGAAGAGGGGCACAGTGACCAGTACAGGTATCTTGAGCTGCCACAGTAAGGTTTTCTGTAAAAAGAACTGTTCCTGTCTCATTGAACTTCATGTGGAAATCCTTTTGCGGACAAGGTTGGAGAGTTAACTCTATGACATCTCTACAACATCCCTAAGACCGGGGAAGTTTGTTAACTTTTGCCCACCTGTTTTTCAGAAGTGGTATGCCTTGCAGCCACCATTATTTTTAATACAGAGGTGAAAACTGTCTTAACACACTCACTGGGATCAGTAGAGGTTGTGCCTCTGACCCTTCTGAAGCTCGATGGTGACTGATTCCTCCACAGTTTCATCCCCAAAAGCCAAAAATGCACCCAACAGCTCGTTGTGTCTGTTGCTAGCTTGTCAGTGCCAGGGGCTAGTTGTCCCTTTTTTTAATCTATTTTTTAATAATCTGCTTAAATCTGAATCTGGTGTCCAGATGTCAGTGACAAAGAGGTATGATTTCCATTTTATAAACACATCTGTAGAAGGCATTTTCGTGTAAGAATTCCCATTCTAGGAAGCTTAAAAGACATAGAGCTTTTTTCCACCCTTTTGAGTCTTTACTACTCTTTCCTCCTGTGATGTGCTGTGAGATGCATTACAAACACTTTACAGCAAATCACAGAACACACGTACATACGATTAATAATGATGATTTGTCACCTTTGAAGTCAATGGCAAATCTCCCCCCTGGACTGGGAATCCATTGTAAATGATCTAAACTTTAAATCAAGATTAAATCTTAATTTAAATCTTACATCATCTTTGGGATGCTGTAGAAGAAGCAGGCGCTGTGGCTTTCATACAAGCAGCGGGAGCTGAGGCTCCATGCAGAAGTGGTCAGGCAGCTCCCACATTGCTGCTTCCAGCAGCTCCCAGGAATCTCCAACTGCCAGATCTCTGCAGACCGTTGCTGGCTTGTACTTCACAGCACTGCATCACTGCTGCAAAGGGAGGCAGTCGCACAAGACCTCTGACCATGTACATGTCAGGCCCTCCATTGCACTCCTCCAAATTAGAGAATAAGAGGGGTTTGGCATCCTCAACTTCTTGTGCTATATTTGGTCCAAATTTTCTTTTACAGCTATGTCCACGTTCAGTTTCAATATCAGCAGCAACAGCCCATGTTTTTTCCAGGCAGGGTGCTTTATGGTCATTTCCCAGTGTGGCTGTCTAATCATTTGCACATTGTAATGTTTAAAACTCAACTGCCAAGTCATAAATATTCGTAGCTTTATTGATCTACAGGCATTCAGTTTTGTAACCAGAGCTGGGCTTGTAATCTTGTGGATTCACCATGTTATAAAAAGCATTTATATCCCTAATGCAACCTGGGGAGCAGAGATAGCCCATGGCATTATCTGCATGCTAAATCCAAGCTGGCTACATGCAGCAGTCCTTGGCAACGCCAAGATACAGCCCTCCTTTGCCGAGAGGACTCGGGCACGTTACAGAACTGGCTGTGAAAACCCAGGCAATTGTACTTGCTTGGGAACAAGATTAAGAGAGGGATTAAAACAAGCTGAAAATATTTTCAAGTGAGGGCCTAAGACCATAAGTACCCTGCCCAGTTATTTTTATTTCTTATCAGCAACAAGCATCTTAATTACGGAGTCAAACAGGTAACTTAACAGCAACTGGGCTCACAAACTAGTTGGCTAGTAGCTCCAAAATTGGGAAGCAGACAGTCAGCAATTGACTTCTTTCAAAGACCTGCCAAAATTTTTCCTCTGAAGAGTGGAGATTGATGAATGTTCACTTGCAGCTGGTTTTCTCTGCTTTGAAGTTCCAAACATCTGGTTTCAATTGCTCAGTGACTTTGCATTTTGATCAGCAGTTACCACCAGTTGCACAGACACTTGCTGGGCCAGGGAGAGAGAAAGCAAGGAAGCAAGACCTCTCTTTTTCACTTTCCATTTCACACATCACGTTGTCCTCCCTGCTATTTTCATTATCTCTTGTAACCATCGTGTTGCAGCTCTGCCATGGTAACTGATTTTTCGAGATATATTTCTGCGGCTTGTCCAGGGCAATGCAACACTGTTGATTTACATCCGCTCAGCATCTGTGTCCCGTATGGGACTTGGCTTTCAAGGTCCTTCCACATTGTCACATTGCAGCTATAAATCTCAATATACAAGAACAACAACCTAAAAAAATGTACCAGCTCTAAATAACTTGCAGCTTTTGATATGTTGCCTTCACCTGCTGCTTTTTTTTTTCCTTTTCTTTTTTATGACATTCTTCTGTGCCTGGCTGCTTGCAATTTGCTTCTTGGTTGCATTTGGAGTTTTATGGCGTTGTAACAAATTTGAACTTACAAATTAAAAGATTTTGAGGTTATTTGGTATTTTATCCTGAACAAAAGACAGCCACTGGGGGGAAAAAAAAAAGTAAAAAAACCCCTGTGAGTTTATGTGCAACATGTTTAATAACAGGAAAATAAAAGGGCAGAAAGGAGGCTATGGAAAATATTCAATGTATTTAGCCATTTCCTCCCGCTTCTGGCTTTATTAAATGACATCCTGAAGGGTGCCGACAAAGAAACACAATCACATATAACTGAGCAAAGCAGCCTCTTTTTAAAAGTGGAAAGAATCAAGCCTGCTGTACTTGTAAAAGGAGAGACTGCTGGAACCTAATGTCATTTACTGTTGATCTTAATATCCTTCCCTTGCTTAAATTTCCCCTGGCACCTGCTTGGAGGTGATTTCACATGGGCCGTGTTGGAGAGAGGGAAATTGGACAGAGACCCTTTGAAAGTGTAGTCAGGAGCCTGGAGTGTGAAACCAGATGCTTTCTGCAGCGAGCCAGAGCGCACTAGGGGATCCTCTGGGTCCGTTTGTGGTTACATCATTTGTGGATTTGAGTGACTTGTTTTATAAATTGGCACAATTGGTGGGAATGTTGTGTGTGTGTTTTTAACGTGTTATATGCCTTTGTGAAAGAAAAAGACATTCTGCCTGTGATCTCTCTTATCTAGTAATGACAGCTAAGTGGATTGCCAACACCAGTGTAGATTAAAAAATTAAGAGAAAAAGTAGCATGTATGTCTAGAGGAGAGCCTTGTCCAACAGGAACTCTAAATCAAAGGAACTCCCATATGGAAACAGCCAGTTCACTTGAAGTTCAAACCATGCTGACATTTGTAGCACGTCAAAATTTCATGGTATTCTTGTTCTATCTCTTCCTGCCATTATAAGAACGCGAGAAAAAAATTTTTGCTTTGCTTCCTCCTACTTGGGCTTTTTGTGCTGTCTAGTGCAAATAGCATCTCTAACTCCATTTTTTTCAGATGTAAAGCCCACTGCAGAGACGCTGGTGCCCACTTTGAAGAGCGAAGAGACCACCACCCCATACCCAACTGATGAAGAGGCAACCGAGTGTGGTGATAGCTGTGGGGAAGAGGAGGGTACGTATCAGAGCAGCACATCTTCATCTCAATAAAACATGGGTTAAGAGCAAAGCAAATACTCTTATCTTCCCATTTGCTCCTATACATGGGGCTGATTCCTGGAAAGCTTAGAGTAATATTATTAGTGATAGGCCAAGATAAAAAAAACCAACAAACAAAACCTGCCAAAATCTGATAAGTTATATCAAGGAAGGACGCAAGAGCAAGAGATAGCAGCTAATTCAGTCCCTAGGGTACGAGAGTTGAAAAGCTGCTCTCCCAGCTTCCTTACATGACCTGAAGCAACTCACTTAGTGCCCTGTTTAGAGTCACCTCCATCCCAGTTCCCCTTGGCTGGGTGTCATAAATTCAGAAGGTGATTCAGGGGAGAGATTCAGACTGCCTGGTATGCAGGGCTCCTTTTGCAGAGGTCACAACTGTGGGAGTAAATCACGACATGTAGAGAAGGCTGATGTCCTGAATACCTATTTGTAAAGGATCATCTTCCCGAATATCAGCTGCTTAAAATTTAGGAGGACAGCCTGGGCTCCTCATGCAGGCAGCAGAGAGAGGGGAACACTTAACTCCAGGCAGAAGTTTGTGCTGCCGGTCTTAGATGGCTGTCAGATGTACAGGGAATGGTTTGGTATCTGTAGCGCTTGCCTGTCTCTTCTGACTATAGAAGCGGCTGAATGCTAGTTCGGACTTTACAATGCTGTGCCTGTGAAGAGCCAATGCTAGGGGGGACTAATCTGCTTTGCCTCAGACCCCTACCTGTAAAAGCAGACGTCATATTCTTCTGCTCTTTGCAAGGGGAATGTGAGCGCATAAAGCTTGTGCCATGTCCAGATTAAGGGGAGTGAGCACGGAAGAGCTGTGCGGGGTTAGTTGTACAGAGCAGCGTGCGGGAGATGCACGCCCCCGGGCACAACAGCAGAGCCTGGGCCTCAGCGCTGGGGCATTTACACAAGGACTCCAACAAGAAATCTCAGGAGGAAAAGCTATCCTTTGAGATAGCTCCTAGGACCTCTGTCACTTCAGCTTCCAGTCCCACAGAAAACATTAATGGGTTTTAAAATACATAAATTAAAAAAAGAACATTAATTGGTTTTTTCACACCTCCCATTGGGATTCTGCTGTGGTTCAGTTCTGGAAATGCAAGTTGCAAAAGCAACTCAAAGGGCCTGATTCTCATTGCTTTGCCTCAGTGATAAGCCTGTGCAACCCTACTCCCATTGAGGCACTTGGGAAGCTGCCGAGAGGAAATTTAGGCCAGTAGCAGTCTCTGCAACACCCCGATTCCTGGGTGCAGTCCAGGGCAAGAGAGCGAGCAGAGTATGCCATGGAGCATGGAACCAGCCTCCCTGTCAGCTTCCCGCAGATTTAGCAACAATTTTCATTCTCATACTCCATAAACAATGAGTATGTTTCTCTGGACAATCAGATTTATGACAGACAAACAGCAACAATGCTGGTCTCCAGGGTATAAGATTAGATTGGAATAAAAGGACCCATGATCTGCATTGTTTTATTTCGAAGTGGGAGCATGTAAAGAAAGCTCTCTGCTTCTTGCAGCAAAGTTCCCCTGATGCCTATCACTTGAGTCACTCACCTCCTTCTGGCTATCACTCACTTGGTGGACACTGTGATTTAAAACTTCCTCTTTGCTCAGGAAAAACCCAGCCTATAAATGGGCTCTGACGTGCTTGTCCGCTGAGTGCTTGGGGTGATCTCAGACCTTTTCTGCAGCCTCCATGTCTTATGGCTGCTTCTCTGACCAAAGGAGCCAGCACCTGCCTCACTACTACATGCAGCCCCTGGCATGCGCCCTCCTGCCCACAGACCTGTCCCTGCAGGAAGGCTCTCCAGAGCTTTTAAAGCTGTTGACACAGGGAATTGGCTCTGCAACTGTTCCACAGATGAAAAGTTAAATGACTCGCCCAAAGACAATGTGGTGAGTCCATAGTGGAGCTAGAAATAGAGACTGGCTTCTTTCACTCAGAATCCAAAAACTTGAGCTCATGGTGGCCCCACGTTTCCCCTGGTAGCATTTCCACGACAAGTAGGAAGCGGTGAGTGACAGCTCTCCACGTTGACAGACAGCTCCCGTCTGGTGCAAGTGGCTAGATCTGTCACTCAGGAGCTGGGTTTCTGGAGCACTTGAGATTCTCCTTTTGGAGCCAGAGCAGGAACTGATGAGCACAGGGCACTCAGGAAGTGCTCTTCTCTGACATTTAAGAAGGCGTTTAATATTTGACCGCTCTAGGGGATGAAGAGAAGGTGCTGATTAGAGTCTGGGATCATTTGGTACTTGCTTTTAGATTTGCTTAGTTTGGTGGATTAGCTGCAGGACGTGGTGTGAGCATTTTGATGATGCAGAACTTAAGACTGATCCCTGGAGCTGATGAAATGTGAGATAGGTTAAAAGCATCAGTGTGAGTGAGATTTCATGCTTTCTTCACTCTTTGTGGCTTGCCAACTATTTTGGTTTTGGGTTGATTTTTAGAGGCAACCCTTCATGGGTAGGTCATTTTTTAATCCAACTTTATTTTGCTTCCATTTCTTTTTATAAGATTTCCATCTCCCTGCGAACTTCAACTGCAACTTTGATCTCCCTGAAGACCTCTGTGGTTGGTCACATGACGTGGCAACAGGTTATACGTGGTCTTTTCGGCCTACAAGCACCTGGATTGGCAACTCTGAACCAAGCCCTGAGACTGTGCCTGGTAAGATGGTTAATACTGTACCAAAGCAGGGAAGAGGGAGCCGATGGGGCTTTCTCCGTGTGAACAGTATGACTGATTATTGCACAGCTATCAAGAGTTGTGAAGGCTGTGCAGAGCTGAACGTTTTCTTTTGTGGAAGCTTTCAGATGCTTTGCTTTACAGGTTCATGACTTATTTATAGGACTGTGACCGCTGGCACTGAATTATACTGTCCTCTTGAGATAGCCTTGAGTCAGACACTGGGCTTTGAATCCCCTGTAACCATGTGGGTTAGTCCAGGCTTTGTTCCACATCCTGATCCAAATGTCCTCTGTAGGACCCAATGCTTTTTCCCCAGAATGCATTTCTTCTTTTGTTAGAGATGCATTTCTTCCTCCCATATGTTGCTCAGATTGCCTGTAGCCTTCAGATATTCTGCACTCTGGGCTTGCATAGGCTGGATTTCTGCCTCTTCCAAGTGAAGGATGAGCTAAACCCTAACAATGCAGAAATATGCCAGCTTCTTGCTGTTTGACTTTTGCTCTTTTTCTCTTCTGTGCTTTGGAAGCAGGTGATTTGCATGAGCATGGCAGAGCCTAATTTATGGAGGACCTCACTGAGATGTGCTGGCATGGGTTGGAAGGGAGCCTGCCTCGGGGCAGTGTGGCTGATGGATCAAGTTCTTCAGCTTCGCATCTTGGAACTCACCCCAGGACTAGTGCCCTTTCCTTAGCCTTGTTGACTTTGTGGCACAGGTGGCACAAAGAACACTTGCCAGTTTCCTTATAGCAGTAGATTACAGCACCGTAACATCACTTCTCTTCACTATCATTCATTGCTTATGAAACTCAAGGCTCCCCCAGGGAGAGCTGGCTGATCTTCCCTGGCTTCAGCTCTGCCCTGATGCCCGGTGACTCGTGTCTGCATGCCATGCACCCAGGGAGCCGTGCATGCTGTGGGCTCTTCCCTGCCCTCCCCCTGGTAAGGTTGAGTCTCAAGATGCAAACATTCGGGCGAACCTGTTAGCCACCTGGCAGAGGCGCTGGCCAGATTGGCAGTGCTGCCAGCCAGTTGGAAAGCCGTGCAGCCAACACCTGGTAGGCAGTGCTAAAGAGGAAAATATGTATTCCAGAAACATATGGGAAGAGGAGAATCTGCTACATCTCCACACACAAATCACCCCCACACAAATGCACACATCATTTCTCTCTTCAGCTCCTGAGGTGCCTGGCAGTTTCTCTAAGAGACACAGTAATGCTGTAAGTGTAGCCTATATGGACATCTGACAAATTCTTTGGCGTGACGTAGGGTCACAGTGTCTGCTATGGAGAAAAGCATTTTCGTATTTCAAGTGTTTATCTCTTCAGCATTTGAGTGCTTTAGAAGATTAATATCTGGAGCTCAGTGGAGCCTCAGGCAACAGGAGAGAACACTTACAGCCAGCCCCAGACTTAATAACCCTCCCCATCTCACTCGCTGTAATAATGTTTAATTAATATAAGCCTCCTGCAAGTAGGATAAAAATTACTTATTTTTATAACTCAGACTCAATTTTTCATTTCATTTCCTCTCCCCCGAGTCTCCCTACAATTAGTTGGCCATAGTTTCTTAGAAGACTCTGTTGTATGTGCGCACGTGTGTATGCGCGTGCACAGCCCGAGAGAGCCTGGTGCTGCCTCAGACCGCTCAGCACACAGTTCTGGTTTTTATCCTTCTTCTACCCTTCCTTCTCTTTCTTAGTTAGTTGTGAGTTGGAAAAGCCCACCGATGCGGCCGGGGGGCCGTCTTCCCGCTGAGTTCAGTGATCTGGTTTCGTGCCAGGGCGGAGAGCTCTCCCTTACGGTGCTGTGCTGAGCCAGGCAACGAAGCACCGGCGGGGTGCAGGCAGGCGCCCGGCAAGTTACAGGCAGAGGAAGGGGCGGAGGTAGCAGCTCCACTGAGGTGACTTGGCCACGGCGGTGGAGGAAGGCAGCAGCAGGCTGAAGGATGGTTGTTGGCACCGCCGTGGGATCAGTGCCCCGGCCGGGTCAGGCAGGGATGCGCCCTCCCGGCAGCCCTGCAGCTGCCTTGCCCACGCAGCACAGGGCTGCGGAGGGGCCGGCGTGCCAAGGTGTCGCTGCCACGCCTCGCTTTGGTCCTGCTCTTAGAAATTAAGAAGACATGACACCAAAGGAAAAAAACTATTTGCTTTTTTCCTCCCCAAACAGCTTTTAAAAGCAACTCATGAAATATGAAAAAGAGGCGATGCTGGTCCCTCGGCGTGGACAGAATCGAAGCATTGTTTGGTTCACACTCCCCCATTCTTCCCCTGCCTTTCTCTCGCGCTCCCTCCAGCACTTTGTTTCTACTTAGAAAATTCATCCTCAGACTCCAGGGAGCAAGGAATGAAAAGCCCTTGTTCGGGGTGGTCTTTTCTTGTGAATTCCGCACCCCAGGGTGAGCGGTTGGGTGAAGGAGAGCAGCTGTGCTTGGTTTAGGGGCAGGGCAAAAGCTAACTGGAACTCGAAGCCACTGGAGCCCAATTTACTCTGATTTAAATGTGCTGGCCCTGACTAGAGGCCATGTCTGCCACACGGTAGCAAGGAAATGCCCTATGCCTTTAAGAGACATGTGGGATGTGTTTCTATTTCTTCTGAAAATGGCAAAACAAAAATTAAAAGGGAAAAAAATAATAATGAAAGGAGGAGCCCTGTCTCAGTCTGCATGGGGGGGGAGGAAATGACCATGGTGAAATATCCTCTGTGAGGCACTTGATTAGAAAAGTCTGCTGAGAGACAGGCCTGAATTCCTCAGATATCTCCCGATTTCATTTTATGCGCTGCATGCAATTCCTCCTCATCTTTGGCGCGGAGAACTTCTCCTCGAGACTGACAAGACACCCACTGCTCTCATTCCACTATTTTTATTTCCAAGATACTCTTTCAGGCAGCTCTGCATTTCTTTTTTTAGCCCTGTGTTCCTTGGGCTCTTCGCACCATGGACTAGCTCCACGTCCTCTCCTGCAGGCTCCCGTTACACGTCTGGGGACCCCATTGGTGAAAGTGGACCCAAAGTGCCCAACTCAGCAGAAACCCAGCATGGTTCCAGCTGTTACTCTGCCCTTTGCAAGCCTAAAAAATACTGTTGCTCCCTTTTCCATGCCCCCATGAGAGATTGCCAGGATTTTTCCCTCTATGGATGTTCAGATGCTTCCCATCTGTAGAAAGATTCCCCTTAGCTGCACCTAGCAAGCTTCAAGGAGCAACAAGTTCAGGTTTCAATGAGGTTTCATCCACTCTCCTGCTGCATGCGATGGCAATGTGCCACTGGTGTCAAGATAGAGGTCTTAAGACCTGAAAATAAATCTGGGTTGGTAAGTTGGGCACCTCAGCTCTTCCCCGTCTTTGAATTTCACTAGGGTCTTGATCCAGAAGGGTGTAAAGATCCTGGGTCATATCCTTAGCTGGTAGGTATGGTTGCGTTGCTCTCAGTGGTGCTACGCTGATAAGCCAGCACTGAAAAGCTGGAACTGATGTGTTTTGCCCATTTTTTTTCCCCTCCCCTTTTCTTGCAGACATTAAGTAAATACCTTGTGGTTCTAGAAGAGCACTGTGGGGTCTGCACCTCTACCACACACTGCTTCTCATTTGGGTGAGCATGGTGACGGGGTCAGAGCCCCGGCAGCATTGTGAACCCCGTGTTGTTCGGATGTTGGCAGCTGTACATGCACGGAGAAAAGGAAGCGATTTTAACCTTGCAGCTCTCCTGACCACATAGCTCATGGGCTGGGCTGCAAACACCCACCAAGGCCTTCTGTTGTGGGCCATGGCCACGCTGGCTTTGAGGGTCAGGAATGCTGCTCGTTTGGGTTGCAGGCGCTGCAGAGAAAGGTTTATTTGTTTCAAAGCGTTTCCAGCAGAGGAATGTTTGTAGTGCTCTGAAGTTTCGTAAGAGCTTATTTTTTAAGGAAAACAAATGTTGAGCTGTTTTTAAGCTGATGGTGACCCTTTACTGTTCCTGTGTTTTTCCCATGGGGTCTTTAAAAGGGAAAGTTTCATATTTTTCCTGCAGTCCATGAGAACTTCTGCCTGAAGGCCTTGATCCTGCTCTGTCCAAGTCAGCAGAAAGGTTTATATGGTGTTAATGGAGCAAGGCTGGACTGAACTGGGTCTGCACTTACTCTCATGAGCCTTCTCTCAGGGCTTGTGCCCTAGGGACACATTTTGACCTCTCGGGTCAATCCAGTCCGCTTTGAAGTAGGAGGGAGTTTCGTGTGTGGGGTGGTGTGAAATTCAAGCACTTCTGTGCAATGAGTGAGCAGCTGCACGCTGTGGGAAGGAGACCGCGTACCTGGCTCTGTCTCTCCCCACTCCCCCCAGGGGTGATGCGGATTGCCTCTTGGCAAAGGTGTACGCAGCTCACCTGGCCCTCGTTTGCCCAGTGAGGACAGCAAACCCAAAAAACCATTCGTGCCTTGGCTGCCCGCGGCATGGTGGAGCTGGGACACCCCGGCACCCGGGTCACAGGAAGTGTGCTGAGCGTTGTCTGGGATGTGCGAGTGCCCTGACCATCGACTAAGGCCAGGTTGTGGCCGTCCTCGTGCCTGTACTGTCTTTCGTGAGAGAAGGGGCACGGCCGCGGTCTATCTCCGCACTGCCAGCAAAGCTTCCGCTCGCTTGGCTGGGCTAGAGGCACAGGAGAAGAAACCATTTCTCTGGGGCTCACCCATTTCTTTGCTGCTCGCCTGTCTGAGTCCTTAGTCACTTTTTGGACCCAAACACCAGTGACACGCTGCCTATAAAACCAGGCGGGAACGCTCTCTGGAAAGCAAGACACCGTCTCTCAAATCTTAGCATGTGCATCGCTCTCCGCTCGCTTGGCTGGGCTAGAGGCACAGGAGAAGAAACCATTTCTCTGGGGCTCACCCATTTCTTTGCTGCTCGCCTGTCTGAGTCCTTAGTCACTTTTTGGACCCAAACACCAGTGACACGCTGCCTATAAAACCAGGCGGGAACGCTCTCTGGAAAGCAAGACACCGTCTC